AGAAGGCTGCCTGTGTTAAAGGCTGGTTGGCAGCTCATGGCCAGCTGGCAAGTGACTGGATCAGGAGGAGTAAATTTATCAGGTTTATAACTTGCTCCTTTAGGCGGTGACAGAATCAGGAAGTTCGGTCTGTTTGAAGGAAACAGATCACAGGGGTGTAAACTGGGGGTACATCTAGTTTGCAACCCCTTCCTCTCAGGCTGCCATGAGGGGAGCAGCTTTCCTCTGCACTCCCGACTGCGGTGACGCTCTGCCCTGCACAGACCCACAGCAACACAGCAAGCTGAAACCCATGAAACTGTAAATCAAAGTAAACCTTTCATCCTTTGAATTTGATTTCTTTCAGGTTTTCTGTCATAGTAATTAAAAAAAATTAATGAACATAGGGAGAGTATGAAAAGTAATTATTAAGTATAGATGGCGAGCAACTAAAAATACAGTGACAATCCCTAGGCTATCATATCAAGTTTACTTTTTTAAATGAGGTACTGAGAATGTATAATAAATACAAATTTCATGACTTTTAATGAAGAAATAATCTTAGATTTGAAACACTGGTATGTTCCCTATAATTAAACAGGTTTAGGCCACTGGTCAGGGAGCTTACAGATTTGAAGCCTTCCAAAGTTTCCTTCTAGACTAAGATTTTGACCCCAGAAAAATAGATGAGTGCAAACTGATATCAAATGATAAATGTAAAGTCAAAAAATTAATTATTAATGCTGACTGCAGCTCTACACTGTACTACCTATAAAACTGTAAATGAACATCACTAGGAAAACTTTCAATGAACAATAAAAGTGAGGGTCTTTCCTTATCAAATTTCTCTTTACATCTTTAACAAGTTATAAAGCTTGCCCAAAATAGGAACTTCAGGTGTTCCCTCTATTTGATTTTTCTCATGAAAGATAAAAATGTTAATGACTTATTAGTGAGTAACATGGTGAAGAAAAAAACAAGGTAAGATTCCTAAGAGAAATTGAAACTAAAACTTCAAGAACTAGATAATTTAATACTGCCTGTGTTAAATATATATTTTTTTACAAAAAATTACCTTCTCTTTTCTCTGCTATACATCTATTCAATTCTTGTATTGTCGTTTTATCAATACATATATGTACTTTAAGTTCATCCAATTCTTCTTGAAGATTCATCCTATGAAAATTAAAAAATAAAAAAGAACATAAACTATCTCAGTTGAGGAATAATGTAGCAAAGAAATAAAAACAATAGAGGTATTTTTAAATACACAGAACTGGATTTGGAGCTATAGCAACTGGCAGGAAGGGGGTCCAAGCTGGGCTCTCATTCACGCCACTGACTTGGAGCTGTGGTGACTGGCCGAAAGAGGGTCTGAGACAGGCTCCTGCTCCCACCATTGACAGGACTCAGGCACCTGAGGCCTGCGGGAATGCCAGCAACACAGCAGGACACTGGTGAGAGCACACACATGGACACTTCATACTTGTTAAGGGAAAACACCAAGAAGAAGAGATAAAAAAAACTATGCACTGAGTTGTCTCATCCTTTAATAACCCAAAGATATACTTGAGGAAAAGCAATAAATAAAGATTTTGACATACAAATAAATGAAGCATATGGAACTTCAAATAGCCATGACCAAACACCCAGCTTACTCAGGAGAAATCCAGCGCACAAAGAAATAGCGGAAATCAGAAGCCAACCACTGGAACTCTCTAAAATGATAGCAGCAGAAGTGAAAAAACAAATGGAAGAGGCGATAGAAAAATAATATCTAATATACAAAATAAATGACAATCAAAATGAAAGAAACTAAAGACACAGATAAAAAATAGAAGGTCAAGAAAAAGATGGAAACCATGAATGCCCGACATAAACAAGAAATGGAATCAATGAAACAGATCCAAACAGAGATCCAGGAGATTAAAAACTCCATTTAAAGTATACACAACAGACTGAATGAAGGCAAGGATACAATACCAAACCAAGAAGACAGGAATGTGACTAGTGACCAGGAAAAGAAAGGTATCTTAAAGATAACAAGGGACCACGAAAAATCAATCCAACATTTACAAGATGAAGCAACAAAAGTGATGGGAATCAGTGAGAAAGGTGAAAACAGCACAAATGACATCAAAAACCTCTTCACAGGAATAATGGCAGAAAACTTCTCAAGCATGGATAAAGAATTTACAAATAAATGTACCACACAGAACACAAAAAGAAACACAAAAAATAAAATATAACCTAGGCACAGTGGTATTCCCAGCTACAAGGGGGTTGAGCAGACGAATCACTTGAGTTCAGGAGTTCAAAGCCAGCATGGGCAACATAGTGAAATCCTATCTCAGAAACTCTACATAAAAGAAAACATACATGCCTGGAACTAAGAAAGAGGTAGTCATTAAGTAATTATTAAAGGATTGACTTACAAGGAAAATATACTAGTTCTTAGTTTTGATGTACTAATAATGTAAGGAATAAAATTCTTACATTAAAAACTAAGTAGTCTCTGATTTTGCTCAGTCTATTTCTTTAAAAAATTAGAGTTTATAGTTTTATGTGTGAACTTGCAATTTGTTCATATATAATAAATGCACATACACAGGAATTTAAAAATGCGTACTCTATGACATATACTGGCAACTTCCCAGTGGGTTACACATTGACGAAATGAGCACATATGCATACACGCGCATACACTTAACCGCACACTGGTGAAGTTTGGATTAGGCTCCTCATTTACTCAGCTAATAACATAGAACATGCTGAGGCAATATGGCACCACAAAGAAAAAGAAAATATGATTAATTCAGTTAGGACATAAAATATTTTAAAGACAGTGTCAAGAACTTGATCTAATTGACTTTTCCTTATAAAACATTGCAATTCAAGAGCAGCAAGATAAACATTCTGTTCAAGTGCCATGAAATAGTCGCCAAAGGAAGACCACATGCTAAACTGAAATCCAAAAGGCTCTAAACAGTGCAAAGCATCTTATATGACCATAAAAATCAGTATCAGAAGGATGTCAAAAAATCCCCAAATATTTGAAATTAAAGAACCTACATCTGACAAAGATGTCTGTTTGACCAAATTTCAGTCAAACTCCTGAAACAACTTCTAGATACATCTATGCATTTTCTTATAAGTTTCAGTTTTAACCAAGAACTCTATTAAGTCAATTTAGCAAGAACCTTTAGTCCGTTAGTCCCTGATCACCCTCAAGATTTGACTGCGTTCCCCGTCCTCTACCATGAGCCAGGTGATGTCTAATCACACTAGCTTGCCCTATTAGGTAATTTTAGTCAATGTCCTCCTTTCCCCTGAGGGCTCCTCTCAGTAGTTTTTCTTCCATTGATCTCTACACTGGTCACTGGCTACAAGTTCCCGCCTGTGCATGCCACATTAAGAGTTGAACCCAATCTCTCTTCTCCACTGCAAAATCCTAAGCAGTGCACCTATTGTAGTGGTCTTGAATTAATTCTCCCCAACTGTATATTGGCAAGTATCATTAAATATTTTTTCTTGAATACTTCTAAATATATCTTGAAGGAGAATCCAAAAATAAAACAACATTTTGAACTTACAAAAAATTAAAACACAACATTTCAAAAATTATGAGGCTCAGCTGAAGCAATTTTAGATGGATACCTACAGTATTATATACATTAGAAAAGAAAAGAAGATCTACAATGATGTGAGCTTATGACTAAAGAAGTTAGCAAGACATGAAGTAACCATTGTCCTTATTAAACAGCTTAACTAGATTTCTCTGTTCTTGATTTAATTATCCTGAACAAATCAGAGTCTATTGATTGCTAAGAACAAAATTAAATGGTGTCCTCCCAAACTCTTATGTTTAGGTCCTCATCTCTATATGTGATGATATTTGTAGATGGGACCTTTAAAAAGTTATGATCATTAGATGTAATTTAACCTTCATGCTGCAGGAGTAACTTTTTAAGAATAGACAGCACTCTCTTTGATATGTGATGACACAGAAAGCACTCATCTCCAAGCTATGAAGTGGGCCATAGGGGCTGGGGATTTAGCTCAGTGGCAAAAGCGCCTGCCTGGCAAGCGCAAGGTCGTGAGTTCGGTTCCCGGTACCGGAGAAAAACCAAAAAAAAAAAATGAAGTGGGCCATTTACAAGGAACCCAATCCATCAGAGCCTTGACCTTGACTTTCTAGCCTCCACAACTGTGACAGTTAAGCCATCAGTCAATGGTGTTTTGTTATGCAGCCTGGGATGACAAATGCACCGATGATTTACAACTCTCATTTTTTATTCCCCATGCATATTCTTACATTGTCTACCTTTTTCTCTAATATGGTTTATACATATTAGAGAACTACAGTTTAATTTACTTAAAAATCCTACATCAGAGCATGTCTGATGTAATGAACAATCTATGTATTGGAGTTTTAGTTGTCTATGTTCCTCTTTGTTGCTTCTACAGTAAGAATCTGAGTGACTGTTACAATGACAGTGAAACATTTGGGTGTTTTACAAGTAACTTTAAATAAAACTTTGTAATATACATAAATAGAGAAGTGTAGGTTGGAAGGAATTAAAAAATGTTGAGAAAGGTCAATTAAATTGCAGCTATAAAGATAAAAGATCTATTAATCAACCAATATATTTCTATAAGTCTACAGTTAATGAAGTAAAATACAAATGCAAATTTTATACTTCCCAAAAAGATGAGGCTCAACAGAAGGAGAGAAAAGAATAACACATCTTTTGTGTGTATTTTATTATCACACAAAAAGAAAGTTCTTCTTAAATCTGTTATGGCCTTAATTCATATCTCCATGATAAACATTTAAGGAATAAATAGCTAGTATCCCAGATACTAGTCTAACCACATTCTACACTGTACTGATGATAGTACTAAACAATTATAATTATAAACATCTACATCCCATTTTATATACTACAGGAACAGACTGACACTGCATACAGGGTCTGAGCAGTCACTGGATAACCACTTACCTCTCAGATTGCTGCAGTAAGTTCACTGTCATTTATCTCGAAGCTTTACTTCAGTTTCCCCCTACTCACAAGCAGAAAAGAGCTTTTTCTACTTTATATCACTACTGCTATTATTGCTCTTGTGCTTAGCTTGCTGCTAAATTGTGAGGTCCTAATAAAGAGGGTTACAAGTTACTTCCCTCAGTTACCCTCTGTCTAGCAGAGTGCCCAGCTGTAGTGTTTTACATAGACTACAGATTAGTATAAAACAATGAAATCAACAAACCAATGCAAGTTCCGGATTTATTTAGCCGAAGAAATAGAAAACATACAATGTATTTCATTATAACGAAGAGTACCAGCAGGGACATGCAACTATGGTTGACAATATGTGATATATTATTTGCTGGATTACAACATGCTCTACTGAGAAACAGAGGTAAATCACATTTCTTAATACTTAATACTTAAGGGTAAGTATTAAACTAGATATTAATATATGACAAAAATAAGATTGCAGCCCCATGGAAAAACAAGCTGAAACTTCTGGCTCCCAATAAAAAGGAGTAGATATATTTATTTATATTCCTCCTACTAATTAAATAGGAAAACCCTAAAAATAATCCATAACAGCAAGCATGATTCTCAGAGGTGAAAAGGAAGAGGAGATAGGATGGAACCTCAGAAATAGAGGTATACCACCAGAGGAATAGCTCAGAGCAGTGAGTTCCTTGGGCTTTCATTTTTCTTAAGCCCCAGAATTAGGTAACAGACAAACCAACAACCCAGAGATGATAACAGACATAGACACACACACACACACACCCCAAAAAAACTTCAAGGAGCACTAGCTATCTCCAGTCAAAAAACCTGGAAAAGAGCAGACAAGCAGGACAGATATCTCTACTCCACCCATATAACACTGGAGAAAAATGAAATAAATGAAACAAAGCCATGATCTCTGGCGAAGAAAACAGTAAGAAGCCTAGACTTCTACTTCCAAAAGGCAGTACCCCTTCACATCCCCTCAATGCAGAATCAGTGGAGCTAAATCGGCAGGTTAGACCCCCAACTCTCCCTAGCAGTACTGAGGTGACTGCTATCTCAGGAACAGTGCCATTAGACACCTATTAAAATTTAACTAAGATCCAGAGTCTCCAAACAATATTCCAGAGACCGTGGAGACAATTAAAAATAAGGCACCATCCAAGAGCCAGAAAAATCTCAACTCACAGAGAATTTTGCTTTCTGTTCCCCTCTCCTGTTGGGAATTGAATTCTCGGACATTTATGACTAAAGCTATATCCCTAGCATTTTTAAATGATTTTATTTTGAGACAGAATCTCCTTAAGTTCCTCCAATGTCATTCAACTTGAAATCCTCCTGCCTCAGCCTCTGGAATAGTTAGGTTTACATGCATGTCATCACACCCAGCTGCAACTTATAAATAATTCAAAACTCAACAATAAAACAAAAATAATTTTAACTATTAACATTTTAAAGACAGGAAATAGATTTTAAAAGTTTTATCCATAAAGACAAAAAATAAGCACATGAAAGTACAAACAATACTGTTAGCCATTACTGAAATGCCAATTAAAATCATCATGGTGTCAATAACACCTAATGGAATAGTTTTTAAAAAATGCTGACAACACCATGAGTTGACAGGAATATTGAGCAACTGTGCTCTCATGAATTCTTAGTGAGAATGAAAATAAAGATGCTACTTTGGAAAACATTTCAGCAATTTCTTACTGCAGTTCCAACAGCAACGCAACTCCTGGGTGTCTAAAGAATCAAAAAATTGTGCTGACACAAAACCTATGATAGCAGCTTTACTGATACCTGCAAAAAGTAGAAAAGATTCAAATGTTCAGTAGCTGAACTTCGATATACTCACACAATGGAACACTATTTAAAAATAAAAAGAAGAAACTGGATGGCCAACCTGAATGAATCTTAAAGGCACTGTGCTGAGTGAGAACAGCCGGCCCTCAAAAAGTTACAATCTTCAGGATTCCATGCATGTGACATTCTGAAAAGGCCAAAGCTACAAAGAGGGAGAGCAAACGAACGTTTTCTAAGTGAGAGCTGACGAAAGGGCTGGACTACAGAAGAGCAGAAAAGGAGAGCTGTTCACAATGGAGCTGTTTTATGTCTTGACTATGGCAGTAGTTACTCAAATCCATGCCCAAACTATCACTTACAAGCTGCACACCAAATAGTGTGATGCACAGAAATTTTAGGAAGCAAAGCAAAACAAAAAAATTCTACCCTCATCAGTGAAGGAACTTGAATGAATAAAACATTCATGGTTTGTAACTCTTATTGTTTCATCACGTTCTTGATATTAGTTTTATTTTTGACATATTTCATTAATGATATTAAATAGTAAACAGGTGTCCATGTACACAACATGAGAGTAGAAGATCTGTCTGATGTTCTCATTTCATTCACCAAGCAGAATGCTCGACACACAGCAGTGACTCAAACACATTTATTAACTGAATCAATGTTTCTCAAAATAACCAACCCTTCCCCCAAGAAACTTGTACTACATAATTTAAAGTGTGTTCAATGCTTACAAGTCTTTATGAAAAAATCCATTACCTCTTATTAGGTTAAAACTGCTCTGAAACATAACTATTTTACAAATGGCTATCACATTAATGAATTTAAACAGATTGTACAGGAAAATCCTCACAGTTTTTAATGACGCAGCATTTTACTTAAAGAGCTAGTTGTAATGTAAAAACACTGTTGAGTGAACAGATCAAGATTGTAAGAATTTCCTAACCTTCTTTGAGAGATCTATATTGCTTTTTATTTAGTTCTATTTCATTAATGAATAAAACAAAACCCTAAAACCATTACTTAGAGCTAATTTCTGCCTGAATTTTCTTTAATAGATTAGATATAAACACTAGTAGATGAAGTCTCACTTTAATTCACTTCATCCAAAATTAACTTCCTTTTTTGGAGACAGAAGGTCATTAAAGATTATCAAAGAAAGTTTTGATGCATGCCACAACATGGATAATAAATCGTACAAATATTATACTAAGTGAAAGAACCTAATCATAAAGAACTATACATGATTCCATTTGTATAAAATACTCAGAATAATAAACAAACTATAGACACAGAAAGTAGATTAGTAAATAGCTGCCTAGGTTTGAAAAGGGTAGATGGGAGGGTTAGCAATGTAACAGCTACTCTGTGCATGTGTTTTTTGAGAGGGTATTAAAATGTTCTAAAATTAATGATAGATGGTGCATAACCCTTTAAATATATTAAAAGTCATTGAATTATACTTTTTATAGGTGAATTATATGGCTCTTGAATTACATGTCAGTAAACATATTTAAGTTTACTAGAAAATGTTTCTGAAACAAATTTATATAGTCGATAAAATACTTTTTGATATGAGAATTCATTATCTTATATTCATTAAGGATTCAAATACTTAGCACTAACAACAAACTGTAATGGGTAAATACAGTATATATTTAAATATGATATACCTTTCCTCAAAAGTTTATCATTATGTGAAAAGGATATTACAAAAAAGTTACACATTATACAAAAGTTATACATTATATAATATATAAAACAAGCTTCTCATTTATAACTAAGATAATTCAGTGATATTTAATTATAATATGCTACACAATGCTAAATTCTAGCAATCTGAAAGTCATGCAGCTTTTCAAAAAAAAATTGTATGGTCCAAGTGTCAAAAATTAACTCTAAAATGAAAAAGTACTTAAATAACAAAGGAGTTTAATTATATTGGTCTAACTCTTCTTTGTCTCAAAAAATGTTCTTTCTTTGCCAAGCTGAATATAATAGCCTGTGAATTATAAGATCAAGCAAGCAAACTGTATGTTTTCTAAAATATGAGAATCCTTCATCAAGTTTTATACTTAGGGCAGCTAAAAGACCTGTGTGGAGGGATCAGCATTAAGCCCAAAGGACAGGCAGTGTACAGCAAGAAAGAAAGAAATTCCCTCGTGTCTTTTGCAGGTCACTACCAAGGACCATGTTAGCAGATCCACACCAGGCCCTTAACAGGCAGTTCTGCTGCTACCAGTAATTAGCTTGGACAGCTCTGGCTCCAAGAGTAGCAGCAAGGCTACACCATAATGAGCTCAGCTGGGATTAGCAGGACAGGGCAGGGAACCAAGAGAGCTCAGGCATTCTGCATTGCGTATGTATCTGGGAGATCAAACAAGGATGGCTGGTTAGGTTATCCCCTCTCCACCTCATTCCAAAAATGAAGCACGGCAGTGTCTAAAATACGGGCTAATGAAGAGCGACACCTCCAACAGATGAGAGCCACATTAATTAACACACTCTCTAGATCATATTATACTGTTTCTGCTAGAGCTAGCAAATGTGCAACTTGTTACTGCATATATGTATGCAAAATATATATAGAGAGAGAGACAGACAGACAGACAACAGGGTGGGAGAAAGAAGGCACTAGTATTTTTGGTTGGTACTATTTTTATCACCAAAAAACAGATTATTTCATTTTTAAAGTTTTCTAAGGTATTTTTCTAATAACTTTTAAGACATAAAAATTTCTGCCAAATGTTTACATAAGTCCTTATTGTTAAAAAAAAGAAAAGAAAAGAAACTCACTTTTGAATCATTAGCTCCTGGTTTTCCCTTTTGAAGTAAGCCAGTTCATTCCACACAGCATCAGAATCTTCTTGTTGAAGTTGCTGGGGTTCAGCTCTCTCTATTTTTCTGATATCAGTCCTATTTTTAAAACGGAGTTGTTTTATTCCTAATTTGTATATTCTTTAAAATTTAGAAATATCTATGTACCAATTTTGTCCAATTTTTAATTCAGGTTCTCTACTTACTATAGATGAATTTCCTACAACTTAAGCATACAGAAATTAAAATTCGGTAACATCATTTTCTAAAGCTAAACTGTTACCACAGAAAACAAACTTTTAAGCAGACACATGAAATGCTTAGGTTTCTCTCATTCAACCTAGAAACCAGTAATAAACACAGATTATAACATTCTCCAAAAAGACTAGACACAATCAACTAACTGCCATCCAGTCTGAATGTGGTACAGAAGCTCTACCTTAGCGCACACTACTACTAGTGAATTATGTCAGAAAGTACATTACATTTTTGCAGCGATTACTGTAAAGCTAGGAGAGTAGAGGCTATGGCTAGCACAAGATTTTTTTTATCACTGCTTTACTGACATATAAAGTACTTTCCATTCATCAAAGGAAAAAAATTATGTGATGATTATCTGTATCTCCAAGTGATGCCAATGCCCTTTACATTTTCATTTTCTGTACATAAAAAAAAAATCTCATTTTTATTTTTTAAAAGTGCTGTACTGGCCCACTTAGAAACTGCATTTCTCTACAGAACAGACCAATGTGTATAATCAATATTGCCCTCAAGGATCCATCCCGAAAGATGAGAGTGCAGTAGATTTTCTGTACTCATTCAGTCCTTTGCCCTTTGTTGATACTGTTAACAAGGGAGCCACTTACGACTAACCAAGATCTGAACACCTGTTCAGAGCAACTGAACTGAGACCGCAATTCATCCAGATAAGCTGGAAAACAAACTGATGGATAGTAAAGATCTTCATATTGCATACTAGGTTGAAATAGTTTTAAGGTAGTTAACTACATATGTGAATTTCATTTTTCTCTTGTTCTTCAGTTAAAATGCAAACATGTTTTCAGATAAACATTTTAAACATCAGTTGGATTTATTTAAAAGTAGTTTTTCAATCATATGAATATCAGATAATTTTACTTTAAAATATGTACTTTAAGTAAATTGTTCCATTGAGAGTAAAAATGTGTACAATAATTCATACTCACCTCCTACTAACGACATCTGCAAATCATAGTCGAATCTACTACAGCTATGGCTAGCACATTTTGCTGTTTTTGTTAGTGGTGTTCACAAATTAAAAATTCATAGTATAATTTGAATACCAAATAATTTCTTTAAAACTAAACAAAAGCCATTAAGATACCTATATAATGCTACTTCATCCCATTTAATATTTAGGGAAATGTCTTTATGAGCTATGTAACTCACATGCCACTGCCTTCTTCCCACTGTTTTAATTGCTCCTTTACTGCTCTGTAGTTGGTCTGTAACATCTGTAGCCTCTCTTTGCGTTTTTCATGGGCATCTCTTAGCTCATCATTTTCTTGGCTCTACAGAACACAAAAAAGCAAGTATACAACTTTGAAGAAAGTACACTATTGATACAACATTTCAAATGAAAAGTTATCCATCTAAATAAGAATTTGAGAAAATAGTATGTAAACATGAATGCACTTGTAATATATATGCAATCAATACAAAGGAGAGAATTTCTTAAGTCACAGAACAGGTTTGCTTGATAAATTCAATCCACTCATTGAATTTTTAAAAAGCTGCCTACACAATTTCAAACTTACACTATTTTACTTTCATTCCTTACCCTGTTGCTAATTTCTATACATACAAATATTCATAAGCCTATTTAATGATTTTTAATTTTTTTCCCTTTTCAACAACACCAGGATTTGTCCATACATAAAGGATGACTGTTTTGTAAAACCATAAGCTGTAAACTACAGCAGAACTAATTCTTCAGGCCATGGATTCATGAATAACACACAATAAAGCAAAAAGATTGCATAGAAGGGATAAAGCCTAGATCTATGTGAAAAGTAGCCAGACTTCATCTTCAGAAGTTCTACTATGAAGAAATGATAGAGGTTTAGTACTATATTCTTAAAGAAGTCATACAACACAGTGTCCAAATATGTCTTTGTTATCGCAACAGCTTGAAAAATTATTCTTGATGACTTCTAAATATATAACACATGAGGTAAATTTTCATTGCATGTAACCATAAACAGACTTAAAAGGCAGAATTCATAAACCACAAGAGACCTACTTATATTAGTTATGCACTATTTTCTAAGTAAAATTAACTATTTCTTGAGTTTTTTCTACCATGAGAATTTCTATTTAAAAAAAATTTCATTCACACTTCTATGACAGTATCTATATGCTTACTTGCTGGGAGAAACACATACTTTCTAAGCATATAAGCCTAGTCTTGCTAGTGGTATAAGTTTAAGAACACTCTTTAAATTACTTTAATTTATTCTCCTGTAAAATATTGAGGAGGGAACAATGGCTAAAATAGGGAGAGGGCCTGGCACTGTACCTGACCTATAGAAGCATAAAGCAAAATGTAGTTTTTCACTCTCTGCCTCCTTGTACTAACAGGAATGCCCACAACTCTAAGAAATTACTATCTTCTTGACTACTTAGCTCAGATCTGACTAGTAAAATAATATTCTACCATACTTCTATCTGTCTCACCAGTATGGGTATTTTGGCATTCTACTTTGAATATAAACCTAGTAAAATTCCCAAGCAGTTATTAGGATGTAGTTGAGTCTTAGTGTGTTAAAAAATAGCCTAATAAGCACATGAGAATCAACGTGCTTGATGAAAAAACACGAGAAAGTTATACTTAGAAAGAGGCATTCAGAATAAATATCACTCCAAAGAATTTTAGAAGATATGCAAAATTACAGCTGCAGCAAAGTTGCTAAAAAGTAACATGGTTAAATTTGTGAAGTAGAAATAAAAATTAGAAAACCCAGGTTCAATTTTGTTCATCTCAACTGAAAAACTATGTAAGAAGAAATATGAAGTATTCTTAAAAAGTACAAACCTTGACACCAAATCTACTGGAAGAAAAAGTAGATAGAAAGCTTGAAGACACAGGGATACACACACAGTTCATGAACAAAAACCAAACTGCACCAGAAATACCTCAAAGAATCAACTGAGATCTCATCTTATTAAAAAGTTTTTGCGCATCAAAAGTAATCACCAACAGAGTATAAAGAAAATCAACCAACTGGGAAACCATTTTAGCGAACTGCCCCTCAGACAAAGGACTTCTATCTACAAGATATAAAGAATTTCAAAACAATCAGGCACCCAAAATTCAAAGACCCAGTTCAAAAATGGGCATCTGAGATGAACACATACTTCTCAGATGAATAAATACTAATGGCGAATAAATATATGAAAAAATGTTCAACAGCATTGGTCATTAGAGAAATGCAAATTAAAGCAACACTGAGATTCCATCCCACACCACAAAGAATGGCTATCATCAAGAAATCAACCCATAACAAATGCTGGAGAGGTGGTGGGGAAAAAGAAGCATTTCTCCACTGGTGGTGGGAATATAGATTGGTGAAACCACTGTAGAAATCAGTTGGGAGATTTCTCACAAAACTAGGATTAGAGGTCCCACTTAACCCAGCTATTCCCCTTCTGGGTATTTTCCCAGAAGAATTAAAAACATCATACCATAATAATATATGTGCATCCTGGATTTTTTTTTGTATTTTTTATTTTAAGAACTAAAAGAAGGAAAACATATTAACAAACAGACATCCATTTACAAAATAGCATAAGAACAATACAAACAAAACAGAGTTACAGACAAAGTGGCAGGAAATTAACAATGGTTGTTGTATTATGTATTGATATCTTCAAAGTGATTTCTCAAGAAAACAAATAGAGACATGCAAGATTGATCAAACAAGTAATCATTAAATTTTCCTTTCTGTAGAGCAATAGAAGACAGTAATACAACTATGTTAGCTATCCTGTATATACATACTTACATAATTTCAGTATATATGTGCACCCATGCTTACAGCAGCACAATTTGTCATAGCTAAACCTTGGAAACAACCCAAATACTTATCAACTGAGGAATGGATAAAAAAGATGTGGTACTTTTATACAACAGAGTTTTGGTTTATTTCTGATACTGGGAATCAAACTCAGGGCCTCACATTTGCCAGGCAGGTGCTGTGCCACTGAGCCACATCCCTGGCCCTACAATGGAGTATTACTCAGCTATAAAAAAGATAAACTTGAGGCTTTTACAGGTAAATGGACGCAAATAGAGACCATACTCATAAGTGAAATAAATCAGATGTGTAGACATCATGTTCTCTCCCTCGTATAAGAACCTGAAAGAGTAAGTGGAACCCAAAACGTGTAGACATCATGTTCTCTCCCTCGTATAAGAACCTGAAAGAGTAAGTGGAACCCAAAACGTACAATAGATGTTAGGAAACGGAAAGAAACTGCTCAAAAGAGGAAACAACTGGAATTAGGGAAAGAAAGAAGGAGAGGAAAATATATATATATATATGTATACTGAAGGATAGCTGGGATAACTGCACTGCTGATGTCTAATGGTTTATTGAAAGGAACAGTTAATGCTTTCTAAAAATTTTTTGACCAATTTTGCAGGCTTATATCTGATAATCTGAACAACTAATCTGAAGAGAACAATATGCAACAATCATTGTTGAATTCCTATTTCTTGTTTGGTGAAACTCTGTATCATTTATAATTTTTGTGTTTTTATTTTTTATTCTCTTTAATAGTTTGATTAATTATGCATTCTTACATCTGGTAATCTGACCAACTTCGACGAAAATAAAAAATATGTAATATAACAACCACTGTTAATCCCTATCATTTTGTTCTGAAACCCTGTATCATCCTTATTGTTTTTGCTTTGTTTTGTTTTTGTTTATGTTGCTGGCATTTTGCTACTGTTCTCCTTTTTTAATTCTCTTTAAAATAAAAATTAAAAAAATAAATTGTGTTTCAGTATCTCTATCTTCAAAATAGAATGTATTTCTATCTCCACTTAAGGGATAAAAAATGACTTAAACTTGAACTTTTCATATTAAGTTTGGTAAACAATGTAAATATCACTTCACTTCTTTGAACTATAAAGGGTCTAATTTTAAGTGTGTGAAATAAATGAATAATTTAGAAAACCAGAAGACCAACAACGTTTATATCATGTTATAGATGCCAAATGCATTGCAATTATTTTATGGGATTCCTTCAGAATTAAAAGATTTATTAGGTTTTTAAAAGGCTGCATTAGAAGTTTACTAAATTGAGTCATATGTAGGAAAATGAATGCATTTTGAAAATACAATAAGCGAAATAAGTCAGACATGCAAGCTTGAATACTGTATGGTTTCTCTCATGTGAGAAATCCAAAGCATAAACACAGAGCAAAATAAAAGACAGATAAAAGGAAACAGAGAGACAGATCCACTACAAATGGGAAGGGAACCAAGAAATGAAGGGAGAGGGGGCCAATACAAAATAGTACTTTCTCTGAGAAATACTGCTATTAAAAACCTTGTAAATGTAAGGACAGATAAACATATTTTATCTTTACTGAATACCTTTTATTATTTTTAATTCAAAGAGTTAAACTAGAGACTTTGATGTCTAACAAACAAGTCTGAAATATTATAACATTAGAAAATAGAAAATTATATCAACTGTCTTCTGACTTCATAAAAACAGAAATGATTCTGAATCTCATCTTCTGGTGTGGTCAGAAGCACCTTGATGAGAGTAAGGGGAATTAGGAGCACAAATTCTGTTCATAAAGCAGTGCTTCACTTCTTAGGGAACAAGATCAAGGTTTTAGAGAAGTGAACAAAAAACAAAATTTAACAAAATGCCAAGGATTCTACTGTAAGATATAAAAAGTTTGAGGGCTGGGGATTTAGCTCAGCAGTACAGCACCTGCCTGGCAAGCACAAGGTCGTGAGTTCGATTCCTGGTACCGGAAAAAAACAAAAACAAAAACAAACAAAAAAAGTTTACGTATAATCTTAGAGTACATATTAATTGTACTTAACAGAAGGATTATTATTATTAAATGGCACTGAAAATATCAACAGAATCAAGCTGCAAAGGTACACAGCACTAATGATTTCAAAAATAGGAAGAATTTCATGAAGTTCCCTGATGCACAGGTTCCCCTATTTTATTTTACAAATTATTTCTTTTATAAATGCACCTCATTTATGAAGTGAGGGTTATGGGTGCAATTTTTCTAAAAACAGATTCCATATTTTCCACACTAGTTTATTATGTGATTGACCACCCATTTTAAAATACATATACCTAGCTAAAAAATCAGAGTAAGATAGTATATTAATATCCATACAAAATTCATAACTAGCATTAGAATAATTTAATACATATAACTTACTGCTGCTACAACATGGAACAGAGGTGACAAACCTACAGAACACATGCCTCAGCAAGCTGTTTGTATCATTAAAAGCTATAAATGATTAGTCATCACTGACAGAACATCATTTTAATGTATCCAAGTGTATATACACATGTTCCAATTAGATTCTGGTGAAATATATTTGCCTCTCCCAACTTTTTTAAAATTTTATTTTAAAGAGAAAAAAATAAAAAATTTCAAAACAAGATAATAGGAGAGTAAGAATGGTTAATACATTGAGTATTGTTATCTTCAGAGGAGTTACTCAGAGTACAAGATATAGGAATGAAAAATTGTCCAAACAACGTTAGCACAAATCTTTCTTTTCAATGACATAAGAGAAATTAGTAGTATAACTATCTTAACTATCTTACACATATATTTTTTTTCCTTTTTCCCTTCCTTCTTTTCTTTGTTCCTTCATCCCAATTTCTCCTTCCTTTTGAACAGTTTCTTGACATTTCCCAATATGTATTGGACCTTTTGGATCTTATTTACTCTTTCAGCTTCTCACATTAGGGAGACAATAAGGTGTTTACACATATGAGTCTGATTTATTTCACTTATGAGTACGGTCTCAATTTGTATCCATTTACCTATAAAAACCTGAAACACCCATTCATGATAAAAATCCTACAGAAAATTGGAATAAATGGTCTTTATCTCACTCTGATAAAAAGCCATCTATGACAAACCAACAGCTAACACCATACTAAATGGTCAAAAACTAAAAGCTTTCATTCTAAAATCAGGAACAAGGCAAGGATATCCACTATCACCACTTCTATTCAATATAGTTCTGGAAATATTATCCAGAGCAATTAGACAAGAGAAAGAAAAGGAATAAGAACCGGAAAAGAAGACATTCAATTATTATTATTTGCAGATGACACGATACTTTACATTAAAGACCCCAATAATTCCACTAAAAGACTTCTAGATTTAATAACCAAAATCAGTAGCATAGCTGGATACAAAGTTAATAGTCAAAATTCAATAGCCTTCCTATACACAAATAACAAACTCACAGAAAAGGAAATTAGGCAAACCACACCCATCACAATAACATTTAAAAAATGAAATACTTAGGAATCAATCTAACAAAGTAAATAAAAGATCTATACAGTGAAATTTACAATACTCTGAAAAAGGAGGTCAAAGAGGATATCAGAAAATGGAAAGATATCCCTTGCTCATGGATAGGAAGAACCAATATTATGAAATGGCTATATTCCCGAAAATGTTCTACAGATTTAATGCAATCCCAAGCAAAATACCATTAGTATACCTCACAGATCCAGAAAAACATTCCTAAAATTAATTTGGAACCAGAAGAGACCTAGAATAGCAAAAGCAAATCTGAACAACAAAGGCAACTCAGGGGACATCTCAATCCCTGACCTGAAATTATGATACAAAGCTACTGTGATAAAATCATCATGGTTTTGGCAAAAAACAGACCTGAATATCAGTGCAACAGAAGGTGCAGACGCAAGTCCTTCCCAACTGTAATTCACCTGAATAATCGACTTTTGAACCTACAGACCTATGGTGCCATGGAATGTGTTTTTTCTCTTTAGTGTTTCCTATGATACTTTCCATGGAACAACAGCCTCTTGCAAAATACTAATAGGTATAATACAACCAAATAAATCTGGGAAAAGATACATCTATGTTTCTTCTTGTAGATTCACTATGCAGTCATATGTTAATTGTTCACAAAAAAAGAACACGTTTAACCCATTATTTATAATAATCATTTCACCATAAAATGTTTTATGTACCATGTTCTTACTTGTTTTGGATACAGCAGTGTTCTATACACAGCAAAGATCACAAAACTTCAACGTGTATTAGTGGGTAATGGTCTACAAAAAGAGCACCAAGGTTAACGAACATTTTTAAATCCAAAGGTACTTGCAGGTTTAACTGTGCACCCTTCCCTCCCTTCCCAGAAAAAAAAGTATGTTAGGAGTCCTAAACCTTGCTACTTCAGAACGTGGTCTCATTCAGAGGTAAGTGTTTTATAGAGGTACTCAAGTTAAAATAGGGTACAGGTGGGTTCTAAGGAGTATGACTAATATCCTTACAAAAAGTGGAAATTTAGACATGGGAAAGAGATACACACAGAGGAAGACGATGTGAAGACACAGGAGAATGCATCTATAAGGCAAGCAATACTTGAGGCTACAAGAAGCTAAGAGAGGATGGAACTGATTCTCCCTCACACAGCTCGGAAGAAACCAGCTCTGCTGACACGTCAATCTGAGACTTTTCTAGTCTTCATAAACTTGAGACAAGAAATTTCTGGACTAAGCCATTCAGTATGTGGTACTCCCTTACAACAGCCCTAGGAACACAGATGTCATCGCCACTATTTGTCATGCTGGAGGTCAATCCAGGGCTGTACCTGTGAGACACACCCTCAGTTTCAGATATATTATTATCTGCCTCACACTTGTATACACTTGAGCAGTACCAGTAACATCAACATTCTAATAGCATAATAAAGGGTATTACAGAACAAGGTTTGCCATCGCCAATAAATATGTTATCCTTACTAAAGTTAAACTGTAATTAAAATGCACTGTGGGCTCACTCTCCTTGGAACTGCTCTAATATACAGGTTTTGTTTTCCTACTTCTTTTCCTAAATGTTCTTAACCATAATGCCTGTTTCTTCTTTAAAATAAGGAATCTACTAAATTATAAAATACAAACTTTGCTCCCATTTTTCATTTTGTAAACATGTAGATGACATAATTTGCTATCGTGATCATCAATTGACTTAAAATTTGAATATAGAAAAAAATTTAATTAGTGAAAAATAAGTTTATTCGGAAAATAAAACGAGGGCTTCCCTCAAAAAGCTGCTGTCAGGAAAAAGGAATGAGAAAACAAAGGAGTGCAACCCTTCTCAGCCTTCTTTTGAAAAGAAATTTAAGAGATTAGATCTAAAATGTCCTGGAATTGTTCTTCTCTTTCCTGACAAAAATAATGGACTGTTAAGGATCTGTAGATCTCTGGAAGCAAAATGGTAATGAGTTTCCACTACTAAGTTGTATATGTGATGGTAAATTTTATGTATCAACTGACTGCTCGGATTGGCTTAAACATTATTTGTGTTTCTGGATGAGATTATTTTAATCAATGGACTGACTGCGATGGTTTGGATATGGTTTCACTATGGGCAAGGTTGGAGGCAAGTTCATGCACAGAAATTTAATCCCCCTTGTGAAGTATCTAGAGGGGTCGAGCCTTTGGGAGTTGATTAACATTAGACGAGATTGTTAGGGTAGAGTTCCATGATTAAATCCCACTGGCTTTATAAAATGAGGGACACTGAACAGAAGAGTTACACGTACATTTATTCTCTCTCTTATTTTGCCCTGCTTCAGGACTCTGTCAGCAAGAAGGCTATCACCAGGTAGCCTCTCAACCCTGTACTTTCAGAACTATGAACCAAAATAAATCTCTTTTCTTTATAATTTAATCACTCTCTGGTACTGTGTTATTACAAAAAAAAAAAAAAATAGACATACTGTAAGTAAAGCAGACTGCCCTTCCCAGTGTGGCTGGGCTTCAACCAATCTATTGAAAACCTAGATAGAATAAAAGCTGAGTAAAAAGAGATTTCTTTTTCTATGCTCAACTGCCTTCAAGCTGGGATATAGGTCTTCTCTTGTCTTTGAACTGAAACTCAAACTTGAACTTAAATTTGGATATAACAGTATCAGTTCTTGTGGTTCTATGGCCTTTGAGCTCAGATTGGAACTATACATCTCCTCTTCTAGATATCTAGCTTCCTAACTATAGATCTTGGACTCTGTCTGAATAATTCTGTGAGTCAATTCCCTACAATAAATCTCATTTATATATATATATATTTTATTTTTATGTGTGTATATATATATATATATATACACACATAAAAATAAAATACAGGATTTAGAGAAACACATATGGCTAACTATATCATTAAACCCTACCTTTCCCTAAACACATATAAGTCAATACTTTTTCTCCCTAGGAATTATCTGTAAGACAAAGAATCTAAATTATAGGCTGAAAGTGTGGTTCAGAGGTAGAAGGCTTGCTCAGTATGTACAAAGCCCTGGGTTCAACTCTTAGCCCCTCACACCCTAGTAGTGTATAAAGCATGGGACTTGTCATAAAATATCAAACTACTGTCAATCAATTATATGACTGAAACTCAAATAAAGCAGGGCTCTGAGTAACTGTGAATGAAGAATGAAAAATTTTTCATATTATAGTCAGAGGGAAAAAAAGGCCTCCAGAAGTTAGGAACATAGCTCAGTGGTAGAGCCCTTGCCTAGCATATACAAGACCCTGGGTTTCATACTCTGTACATAAATAAAGTTACTTAATTAGGTTAAAAGAAAACAAATATAGCCACATAAAGTTGGCTCAATACACATGAACAACTTCCCCTAATAAGGAGAATTCAAAATATAAATCAGAAAGCCCAAGTTTTCCCAAATACAAATAGCTAAGGTATATACTTCTAAACTCTGGGTACAGTATCATTTAAATTTCAAATGTTTGAGACAAACTCATATATGGAAAAATTAGGTATACTTATTTGCCACTTTTACTTTATAATTTTTATATAAAGGATAACTACAGGTGACCTAAGCTTATTATGACTTTTAACTCACTTTTATTTTTATGTTTATCATGTACAGTATAAAGAACAAGAAATACTTTTTATGTGCTATAGTTCTGTTTTTGTTTCTGAGAAAATATAAGAAATTTATTCCCAATTTTAAGCCAAAGTATTTCCAAATAATTTGAAAGTAGTGATATTTAGTTTTCAAGTAGTAGATATTTTTTATTACTTCACAATCCTCTGAAATCTTAAAAGCAAGATCAACTGGTTACATATTTCCATACAGATAATTAAAATCAGGAAAGAAAAATGACAAGCATTCATTTGTGAAGTGTGTGTTTACTCTGGTATATTTTTATGTTTGCATGGTTACTACTAAAGAAATGAGTTAATGTTCACCTTTAGCTGTAGTGCCTCCTCTAAGTTTTCAATCTTTCTTTCAGCTCTTCTCAGCTTTCTTAGTTCCTCTGAGTCTTTGAAAGAGCTCTTTGGGGACAAAGACCTTGAACGTTTCACAGGTGGTTCCTTGAGAATAAAACAAGGACACAGTTGAACTAGTTGAAATACTGGATTATGAAAGACATGCAAAATTAAAGAACAAGTAATTTTGAATACTAATAGTGAATTATAAAAAAAATCCTGCATGGAATACCAGAGAAATAACAAGCGGAATTACCACAGTGCTACCGCTAAAGGTTTCTCTGTGACTCCTTAATGAGAATATTCATTTACATTTACATTGTTTCTTTCAGAATAATGATGTCCCATTAGGGAAGACTAAAGGGTTATAGACTCAGAAATGCAAGAAACCTCATTACAAAGGAGGGGATAGAGGCTGGTCTAATTGCTCTATAAGGGTCCAAGGTTACACTTGATAGGACAACCAGAAACAAGAGGGAAAGGATTTTTTTCCCCTTTGAAATAGTTTAACATACTGTGAAGTTGAAGGAACAATATGCTTGAGGAATATAAATACAACAGACTGTAGATCTTATACCATAATGACCATATGGTCATTAACTATAATGTGGCTAACTAGAGACCAGAATGTGTGTTTGTATTATGTACAGCTTCATATACCAATCTGGAAAAGGAAAATGTGAAAGCAACTATTAAGCTGGGCAACACAGTGTACATGGTTACTGTATATCCGTACAAAAAAGAATTTTTGTGCAAAATATGCCTCTCCTTTTCTTGATTTTGATTAAAAATAGTGCAATATCAAAATAGTACATTGTAAAAATTTAGCAACACAGCAACTTGCATTTTCCTTCAGCAATCAAATTACACCTTATAAGGTTGTATTTCAATTTTGAAATGTTTTCTTTCATTTAAATAAAGCTTGTGAAACTACAAAATGGCAACAAATGGATAATAGTTATCTTTTAGTAAAAAATAAAACTCATTCCTCTGAAAAATTACTAATAGTATAAGAAGTAATACCAATAGAATGTAAAAGTACCAAGGAAACATGAGTTTAATTTTAAATCATTCCTTTATTGATAGTTTGTTTCACTCAAAGGAAAAAATGGAAAAAAATAAAAACCATTACCTCAAAAACATAGTTTTTCACATATAAAATACAATCTTTCCCTATCGCTAATGTAACAAGCACAAAAAGAATACAGCTACAAACCCATTATTGGGGAAGTATTATTTCAACTTATCTACAAATTTATTTAAAATATTATGGAATTTTAAAATAATCAATATTCTGTAGACTATTTTGCAGCATGCCATAGAAGATTCTTTGCTACTGATATTCCTTTTTAATCTATACAAAATGTAAAATCCAATTAATATTTTATATTCTCTATGGACAGTAATTTAAACTTTTATATCAAAATGAACTAAAACTACTAGGTATTTTTAATAAAAATTAGAAAATTAAGTAAATGACCAATACCATTTTAAAATGAATTCTTAGGAGTGATGACTGTATCAGATAGATGAGGGATACTTACCAAAACATTTCACTACAAGAAATTAATTTACTAGCTATACAGGTATACTAGTAATATATAGTATCAATGAATTAATCAATGAATTAATTTAGGAAAATATTATTGGGTCATAAAAAGGGAAATTTTTCTACTCCTAGGAGGGATTTCACCAAAAATTTGGAAAATATTCTTTTTAATTCACAGAAAAAGCAGAGTAGTGTATGTTACTGTTTTTTTCAGTTTCATCTCTTGCTCTGCCAGCCTCATCCTGACAAATTACAAAGTGACAAAATGTCTCTACCTTATATTTTCCTTCAGCAGTTGTCATGATGCTCTGCTCTGTGGAATTCTTGTTGATAGATCTGTTCTCAGACAGCTTTTCATTTGCTACTTTCAGTTTCTTCTGTAAATACTCAATTTCAGACTTCTGTGAGACCATTAATGTTTCCAAGCTTGATAATGATGGATGAGATACCTGTTTTTAAAAGTATAACTATATATCTTTGTATGGCATACTATATATATAACTATATATCTTTGTATGTCATTTTAAATATATGTAAATATTTATGAAGATTATATAGATCACTAATAACCAAGGGGAAATCTTAATAATAAACTATAAATTTGGGGGCTAGGAGCACAGCTCCCAGCAAATATTTATTTTTTTGCAAATATTTATACAGACTATATATTAGGAAAAAGCTTCTATTTTAACAATAAATTAGAAATTACAGTGTCTGGAGCACAGTTCAGTGGTGAAGCACAAGCTTGGCATCACAGGGCACTGGGTTCAAACTCCAAGGACCATACATCCAACATACATGTATATAAAATAATGGTTATAAACCAACACGGGAAAACACCACCTTTTCCAAATTTGTCTATCTTTTTCTCGTTTTGGTAAGACAGCAAATTTTTTCTAATTATACTCTATAATTTTTCTGATGCACAGACCATCTTTGATTTATACTATTACACTTTCACCATATATAAATCATCTCTCTTATTTCCCAGTCCTTATTTCATCATACAGCTAAACATTTTCTTCAAAGCAGTTTTATTTTTTTAATCACTCTATATTGCTTAATATTTTACTTTAGTTTGAACATTAAAGTAAGCATTTTTCTTCCAGTGAATCTAAATGATTTTGTCCTACTCTTTCTTGCCCTCTGACCACTACAGTTTTTCTTCTTTTATTTTTCTTCTTCCTATTTTATTATCAAATTTATGATGTTCATAAACATTTCCATTGATCATCTATTAAATTAATTCTACTCTTGTCCATAGTTCCATAAATAATTTTATGAAGGATATATCAACATTCTGTCATTTAATATATACATTTTTAATAATTTATTCAAGGTTAAACAGTCATACAGAATAAACAGAAATATTTGTAGTTTACTAGTATACCCAATAAGCAATCTAGTTAAATGTTCCAGTAACAGATATTATCACTGAAATCACAACATACTTTTTTCTAATATCATTTATTATTATTATTTCTAACAATAAAAATATTTATGCATTATTGTTTCAAAATTCCTCAATAAACAATAATATCATTAAGATTAAAATACTATGAAAATAGTGATAACTCAAATTCACATAGGAGCCAGGTAGACAAAGTAAATAAATAAATATGGGTTGCATTTGGTTTGTTTTAAAACAATAGCTTTTAAGTTAACTTAATATAGTCATTTGTAAATATTAAAACACATAGATGTATTCTTTATTTCTACAAAGAAACTTGTAACATTCCCGTTTTCTTTAAGTGGGGTCTTCACTACCTCTTGAGACTTTTATCACTATTTTTGGCTATAGATGTATTATTTCTTAATATACCTATTTTTTTTTCTTAAATATAAGCATCATGACCAGTGAACACTGAATCTCTTTGTTAAGGAATAAGAAGTGTATGTGTAGCTACTGCTAATCAACTCTAGGCAAGTCCTCTTACAGAGAAATATGGCATTATATAGCTGGATTTTCTAATCTTTCAAGAGATGCAAGAAATAAGAATTTCTCAGGGAAATCTACAAAATTTGAAATGTTTGTTGGGCCCCATTTATGACTTATGTACTTTGAAAACATGAGATGGAAGTAAAATCTGCTATAGATTTTCTAGAGAAAATTTTTTTTTTTTTTTTTTTTTTTTGTCTTTTTGAGACAGGGTCTCACTATGCAGTTCAGGCTGGCCTTGAGCTCATTTGTAGCCCAGGCTGGTCTTGAACTCACAACGATTCTCCTGCCTCAGCCTCCTGAGTGCTGGGATTACAGGGGTGCGCCACCACGCCCGGCTTTCTAGAGAAATTTTGAAATCCAGCAAAGCTCATAGAAATATATTGAGCTTTTGGCTTAGTATTCTACATTTGCTAAGGATTGAAATGTAAATGCATTCACGATAAACTGAGAAAAGCAGGGTACAATGCACTATATTTTACTATATAGATTTACATTGCATTAAAAAAGCCTTGAAATATTTTAGTGTTATTTCTAACTGCAAGGACTGTATGTGAATTATTTTCTCCATATTCATTTGAATTCCTTAAATTTTTTACAGTGAACACATTACTAAATGTGCTTGAAAATACAAACGACTTGTCTTTTCTATAAAGAAAAGAAGAAAAACCCACAGAAAATTTTTCAATGTTAAGTGTATGAAATTAAATGAAAGGTTCATCATAATATCACTGCTCAGAGTTCTTTGAGCTAAGATTGAGATACAGCTCCCAGACTGAAAGTGGTAGGGTATAATTCATCCTTTAATGTGTGTTGTTAATTAACAGATGTTCATTTGTAGAACAGTTTTACATATCCAGAAAAATTCGGCAGATACTAAGGGTTTCCCTGTATCTGACACACCTACCCACCTAGTTTCTCCTATTAGAAACGGTCTTAAATTAGTATGGTACATTAAATCTATGGAATTCACCAATATTCATGTATTATTTTTATTACAATCAACAGTCTACTCAGAATTACTTAGTTTTTATCTCAAATTACATTTCTATTCAAGTATCCCATCCAGGATAAAATAATAGCACACTTAACAGTCATACCTACATGGGTTACTCTAGCTTTTACCAATTTCTCAGAATTTCCTTATTTTTGATGTTTGACCATTTTTTGTTTTCATTTATTTTTTTGGTTGGATTCACTCTCTTTATAATTGGATATTTTTCTGACAATTAAACTTAGGTTATCAGTTTTAGAAAGGCAGATAATAGAGATGAAGTATCATTTTCTATATGCCAAATCAAAAGTACTGTATTAGTCCATTTTCTACTGCTATAACAAAATACCCAATGATACATACTCTATAAAGAAGAGAAGTTTACACAGTACACAATTCTGGGAACTGAAACTCCAACCAGCACAATGCCAGTTCTGGAAACGGCCTGTCAGCTAATCACAGCATGGTGGACGGCATCACAGAGGAAACGCACGGGAGCAGGAAAGCTCAATGGAGAAACAAGAAGCAGAGCATGACAGGGTGCAAGCGTGTTTTTCTTTTGCAGCTCACTCAGAGTGTAAGCAACTGAGGCGGGGTGCCTGCAAGAATACACCTACTTCTCCCAAGGGGGCACCTTCAGTGACCTAATCATATCCCGCCAGGCCCTACTTCTTAGAGATCTCACTACTTTTAACATTGTTATGCCAGGAACCAAGCTTCCAACACATGAATTTTTGGAAAACAAGCCATGACCAAACCATGGCTTACACTATTAAGCTAACTTATGGCCGTAGATATTAACCTTGATCACCTGGCTGCAGCAGAATTTATCAGGTTACTCTAATGTAAAGATGTTCTTAGTTGGGCATGGTGGCACCTGCACATAATTCCAGCACTCAGGAGGCTGAGGAAGGAGGACTGCGACAAGTCTGTAGCCCAGCCTGGGCTACACAGTGAGCTCAAGGCCAGCCTGAACTACATAGCGAGACCCTGACTCAAAAAACTAAGAAAAAAAATGTTCTTTTATGTCTCAACTCTGCTTTAATTTGCATTTTAAAATTAAAAATATAAACATGCAATTATTATATGGATAATGTAGAAGCTCAATAATTTTTCTTGTTAATAATATTTTATAACATTTCAAAAAAATATTTAAAAATCTAATGCTCCTTTTTGGTTTACATTCTTGGAATACAGTGATATGGTGGTAAACTACAGTTAATCTGATTAGAAATGATAAGTGGAGTAGGTATCTACAGGTTCCAGTTGGGAATAATCATTATTAATACATAATCTGTTTGTTTTGTCTTGTTTTGTTTTAGGGTTAGGGATTGAACAAAGGGGTTCATGCATGCTAAAAGCATACTGTACCACTGAACCCCTATAACCTGCACAACAATTTTGCCCAGTGATCCACTCAGCTAATTTTGGTTAAAAAGTCTTATAAAAGACATAACAATAGAAATGGTAAAGGGTCATTTAAATCTGCCCATTACTATTTTCAAATTATATAACAAATATTTAGTTCAAAGAACATTTTATGACATTATTATATGTCATTATTGGAGTGTAAGATGATTGAACATTAGCTGATACATATGAAATTGTTTCACAGCTATAATACCTGGAAAGACCTTTAAATTGTTTTACCTTTATTTCTAAGTTTTAATTAAATATATTTATTTCCTCATATTTAAATAATACCTCCTTATACACACTGGCATTTAGTGAAAAGGTACTTGGTTCTTAGCATTTTACCTATAGCATCTTACTTATTTGAGAAATTTATAAATTCCAATCCTGTCAACACATAATATAGTTTATTGCAAAAGAAAAGCACTTAAAAGAGACATGACCTCTCCATTGTTTCCCCTAAAGCAACATTTCACTGAAAATCCAGTATAATTCAGATACAGTGAGTAAAATCTATGTGTATAGGAGCATATAAAATATCTAGTATATATATATATAAGTATCAGATAACTTACATGACTTTATAAATATGTGTACATTCTGTGCATCATATATGCCCTATGTCATACGGTTTTCTTACAAGATACCCACATCGCTATAGAAAACTAATATTCACTTAAAATTGATTTTAAAAATGTGTAAATACATATATTGCCAATTCATAAAACAGACTTTGTTAGCTGAATTATCTATAACCTGAAAAAGGATGACTAAACAACAGTCATATATTCTTGGGAAACAAAGAAGGGAATAACAATAACATCAGATAAACATGATATCATAAATCAAAAGTCTTAATCACAGAAGTTCATAGATTATATTTGTCTACTAACTTAGAAATGCATCTTACTTTCAGAAACACCAACAACTGTGTACAAATTTTCTAATATCAAAGAATACAGTTAGCACTCTTCTAAAAATATATATATCCATATACTTTTAACCTAAATATCCTCAAAGAGAGATTACAAAAAGAAAAACTACTGACTACATGTAGGTAAAATTTTAAGCACTACCATCTTCTCTTATGAATACCCTCCAAA